CATATTGACCAGCAGGAATTGACCAATAGAATTAGACTTACAAAATTAATTCTCTTAAGATATTTGATGAATATCCTAACAGGAACAACGACAATACCTTCCACAGTTTTCTGAGACTTTTTTCTGCTGTGTTTCTGCTGTATTTCATATGGATTGCCTTATTTCTTGACGAGTTTCTTCATCTACTAAAGAAACTATTCAAACTGTGAAAATCACTACACATCAAAGAAAGTGGACGTTCTCTTCAGCTACGCCTACGTGAACAACAATTAGCTTTTTATCGGATACATGCAGACAGCTGTAGACATACATTTGAAATCATCAATCAATCATTGTAAGACTACCATTAGAAACCTGGAAGCACTGGACAATGGCCGTTTCGTCCTGGTATGGGACTCGTCAGCAGCGCACATCCACGGAATCCTGCAACTCGCAGGACTGGAATCCGGGCCCTTCGATATTGCGCACGAACGCCTAACCATCGGACTACTGGTCCGGCATCCAACGGTGTTAATGTCTAAATCTGATGGATCTAGGGATTTTGTGCAACCTCATCGGTGGTCCGATGGTTAGGCGTTCGCGCACAATGCCGAAGGTCCCGGGTTCGAATTCTGCGAGGAGCAGGAGTCGTAGATGAGCACTGCTGATGAGTCCCATATTGGGACGAAACCGCCGTCCAGTGCTTCTAGGTTTCTAATGGTGATCTAACAGTGATTGATTGATGATTTCAAATGTGTAAAAACACAAACCTGCAAAAACTCTGCCCCTAGATATACATTCGATTGGTGAAAAAAGGTTGTATCACTGGATGCAAGAAGTACAAAGAATGACAGCACACTGATTGTAAGCACCTCCAGTTTGTATTTTTTACATTTCTGCAGCAATTTGAATGGTCTCTTCCTGTCTCCCACATTGTACGAACATTCCATGTACCTATATTATTGGTTGCTCTAATTGTCAGAAAGGGCATCACCGTCGTGACTTACGAAGGAACTCGGCTTTCATCACGAGACGTCATAACTCCTGTAAATGAAGACCGTCCAACTCTCAGGGAACAGTTGAGATGGTTTTAATTAATTTTACTAGGCGTTTTTAAAGCGATCGGTATTAACAGGCGTATCTCTAAAATTGATAAGTTACTCATTGAAATCATCAATCGATCAATGTTATACCACCATTAGAAACCTGGAAGCACTGGATGTCAGTTTCGTCCTCTTATGGGACTCAGTGGCAGTGCGCATTCACACGGTTTCAATGAGTTACTTAACAATCTTCACAACCTCATAATACAATTACCTGTGCTCACTGGCTGACTAACTCCTTGGAGAGATTTCCCCGAGCTCTATTGAGAAGTTGCGTCCATTTTCAACCCTTGTATGAAGCAGCGCTCACCGAAGACAGTGTCTGAGGTTGCCCAAGACCATGGATTGATCGTAGTCAGACTTTAACACCGGCTCAGTGATCCAGCGGCTAGGCGTTGGCGCGCAGCACAGAAAGTCCTAGGTCCGAATTTTACGAGGATGCACACTTCTGACTCGCATACCAGGACTAGGCTTTCAGGTTTCCAATCGTGGTGGTCTAACATTGATTGATTCATTATTTCAATGAAAATCTCTAAAAGTTAACACTGTTAATCAAACTATCCTCCTTAATCCTGAAACTGACGGTTTCATTTCATTATTTTTATCTAACGATACATCATTAAGTTTGATCATCTGTTCACTTCAATTTATCGATCAACTGAACAGAAATCAAATACAACCAATGAGAAGTGATTTTCTTCAGCACTCCTGGAATTTCTTACATAACATCACAAAGTCATGGTTTATACAGGCAACATTATCAAGTTCGCATCGTGTGGTTCGAATTGAAAAATTCAAAATTAAAACATACATACAGAATAGTACATTTTGTCAGTCGCATAAAACATTTTACACAAATCAAAAATTAAACCATTTGAAAACAAACTGTGGTTTATATAGACATTCGATTTCTAGAGAAAACTAATCTTACTAAAAAGGTTGACTAAGCTTCATCGTATTCATCTGGCTAAACTTGCCTTCTAATTTCGATTCGCTTTTATGATTGCATGAAATAAACGCATCTAAATGAATCCATATATGGCTGTCGCATAAACACGGTTCCTTCTAATAATAATATATACGGAAATTGAAGAGAAGATTTATTTCTTTTCGGGTAAGTTAGATCCCCAGAATTCGCTTGATAAATGCCTTATTTGCATTACACGTTGCGAGGATGGGCTGATCGGTTGACCCTTGAGATTTCATTTCTCACCAGGGAAAATCCATGGTTGTGATTGGCTGCTGTGTACTTTAGTGTGCTATTTTCTTACCCAAGGATGTTTCTATCATGCATAAATAAACGAGAGTTTATCTGCTTGGTTGTATTGTGTGATTGCTGGGTGTTTGTAGAATATACCTTTCTACGCTTACAAAGCGTTCTATCTTCAGCTTGGGATTCAAGGTAGCCTATCTGGACGCTGGTTCATTGTCTCTTTCGTACCTAGTGACGAACCATACAATTTCGTAGCATCATGTTCAGTTGTTCGTAAAAACTGGCTTCAGAATCCCAGCCACTAAATCAGATTTGCCATTCAGCTTTTAATCTTTAAACTAGATTGGAGACTTTAGGTTGAAGTAAGTAGATTTACGCGGAAATCATTAAGAATTATGGTCGATATATACTCGGTCCTTAAAGTCGACAACGATCATACTTCACTCACTCAATAATTCAGTTTATATTATAGATACATATACAGTAGTTAGGTTATAAGAGGTTAGTACAGATCATATTAGAAATTTTTAAAAGGAATTAAATATAAATTTGACATTTAAAACTACATAACATGATTAGTTTTTTTTAAATCAGTCTACGTATCTAGAAGAACTTCTTAAACAAGTTCTAAATCAGATGAAAAATATGAACTACTGATTGAAATAAGTAGCTAAATACAAAATAACAAAATTTCAGAAGCATTCTTGATGCTAAGCTGTTTATGTACAAATAGTTATAGTTCTTTCGAGTGAAACTAAACATTACTTACTTACTTACTTACTTCCACCTGCTACTCCCAATGGAGCATAAGCCGCCCACCAGTTTTCTTCAACCAACTCTGTCCTGGGCTTGCCTTTCAGGTTCATACCAGTTTTTGTTCATTCCTC